ATACATAGAAATTCTGAGACCTCTAAACTTCTGGTGTGATTTAAATCCATTGCATGATATATACCAGTGCAATGTCTGCCTAATACTGTGGCCTTGTCAAGTCTGTTGCCCATTCACATTCTCTGGAAGCCTGGGATGATAGCAAAACATATGTAGGCATCTTTTCTGAGTAGCCTGCCAGATTAAAATGTTGCCAGTTCTGATACACACGTGTGCTATATAGAAGTTCAGAAAAGATCTTTGAGCAAACTATCAGAGATGTCACATCAAGCCCTCAATGATGGGTGTCTCTAAAGCAGAAAATCTGATAAGTTATGGCACTTCTACTGTAGACTCACAGACCCTGCAGAGTGATATGTTTGAAAAGGGAGGAAACAGCCTCACCAGGACTGCCAACAAAGTGGTGTACCAAAAAATACAAAAACAGCCCAACCATTCATGGGGTGACAAATCAGACTGTTGCACTATAGGCTGTGGCCATCAAACTTATTGTCACAGAGTTGAGTATCTTCATATTTGGAAAGTTAAAATAAATGATACTAAACTCATCCTTATTATTATAAACAAATTCATAATGTAAATGCAAACATGTAGCAGTTATACACACAATGTATTTTATGTAGCACAATGTATAACTAGATTTACACTACCTTGATATAAAATAGGGTTTAGAAAATTTCTTGTATATAATTCTATTGGATATCAAAAAGAGGAAGAAAATATGGTAACGAGTCTTTTACTGTGAGATGGAGTAAGTCAGCTGCCTGAAAATGCCCAGAACTTAAAGCAACAGGCCATGGAACAGAGAGGAAAACTAATGCAAAACCAGGAAGAAAATGGCTCACTGCAAGGTAGATAGGAAACAATTTATTGTAGGTAACAGCCAAATGTGGGAACAATTTTGAAAGAGTTTCAGAAGAAGAGCGAAAGACATTTATGACAAACATTTATCTAAAGGGCCTGTTGCTTGTCTCAAATCTGTTTAGGTATCATAGATTGGAGGTGACATTCTCTGGATGTTAAAAATTGGAGTAGAAAACCAATGGGAAGAACTAGTACCTTCTGATGACCAAGAAAATAGTCTTGTAGGATATGTCCACACAAACCAAAAGACAGGCACGTGCATTTTTTTCTGAGAAGTTCTGTACTCTCTGACTGCATTTTGTCACGCTACTCACCATGAGGGACAGAGGAGCTCCTCATGTTCAGTTTGACTCCTGCAAACTTTTGCTCCCGATTGTGTAAGTGTGCTGCCACTCAGGTTTGTGTGCGTACCAATCTCTCTAGATGTCTTTGTGGACCTGGACAGCTTTTGCTGTTGTTGTTGTTCCTAGAATGGCATCTTGGTGTCACTTGTAGGGTTTGGCCACTTGTAGCTCTAGAGTTAGTTGAACACATGACTTCTGCAAGAGAGGGGAAGAGAGGTGATTAACTTAGAGCAGGAAAGAGATTTCTCCCAAGAAGGGAGAGGGGGTTACACAGCACAGCTACAGCGAACCCTGAGCAATCTGATTTGTTCTCACAGATGTCTCTGCTTAAGCAGAGGCTTGGGCTCAAACTTTCAAGTTGTCAGGATTCTAGGTCATGGTCACATAATTATCAAGCGACACCAATTTACAACCTTCCAGGTTCCAGCTCCTGGGCACACTCTGATTATGACCTGATTGCATGTCTAGATGACAGATGGTATTCACCAACCTTATCCAAGCCTGATTTCTTTCGAATAAGGGAGATGTGATGTGCCTCAGGAGTTCCCCTGCTCTGCATAATGCGAGGGTTTTAGGGCACAGGAGCCTATTGCAGGGAGAAGCACTCAGAAGTACTCAGCACCTCAAAAGCTGTTCAGAAACTCCTCCCAAACACTGTTAACTTCCACACTGACTCAAGCAAGGGTCAGTAATATTTGTTGAAGCTGAATTTGTCACTCTCACCGCATCTGCTGGCAGTTCTGCCTGCAAAGGCCCCAAGAAGAAGCCTCTACTGGTTCACCAGCAGGCAATTGTGCTGGTGCTGAGTGCTGGTGAAGGTTAGGAAGCAAAGTGGGAACAGACTGTCTTTGGCTCCAAAGGAGCCTCTCAAGCATCTGAATCTTGTATCTAGGCCATTTTCTACTGCCCCTGAGCCCCCCACCCTGACTACCTCCCATCCTCTGGCTGCTGAGCTCCACTGCTCGTGTGCAAAGCTGCAACCTATTTAAATCAATTCTGACACCTAACACCTCTCTGTTTTCTCAGCCTGCCTGCCCCAAATATTTCCCTCCAGCCTTGACAGAAAGGGTATTCACAGGGCAGCTCCAGAATAACAAGTTTCCATTTTTTGAGATGGTTGTATGGGGAGCTTTGTGGTGTGGCACTTGGCCAACGGGTGATCATTTAGCCAGAGTAGCTCACTACTGGGTAGTTAATTTGACATGCTGAACAGAGTGGTTGGGCTCTCTCTGAAGCCCAGTCAGACACTTCTGGGTTCCCAATATTAAATTATGCCTGATGTGCAATGCCAAAATATCGGCACTTGCGTGCAAACCTTGACTTCAGGGATGTTCATCATCCCAGCAGTGGCTCATTTGCTCCAACACAATCAATTTTCTCCAGCAGTCACTGGGACCATTACCTGCTTTACAGAGAGATGTGAGTTGCATTAGGCTGTCCACAACCTCTGCATCACTAAGTCGGGAAAAATAAAAAGGTGAAGACATAGTGGCGACAAATAATGCTAATAAACCCATAAATATAAGGCTGGGAAGAGCAGGTCCTTTCTCAGTGGTAACAGCCCAGGATTCTGGATTGACTCCTTTCCCAGGAAATATATCAAGTGTAGAAATGAGAGCATGGTTGCAGAGATGGATTCCCACTTTACACATGCTCTTTCTCCATCACATTTAGGGCTTGGACTGAATAATCGTTATCACCACATGGTAGCTATCAGGGACTAGCTGACACATTATAAAAACCTAATGTAGCCAGTGCACATTGGAGTCTTTGCCAGCACCTGAATTGTTTGCCAGAACACTTTTTAGATAGACTGCTCTTGTGGTATTTGTATCTCTGGCAAGAACCAGAAACAGAGGAAATCTGGAAAACATTTCTCAGGCATTAAAAAAAAAAAAAATCTGTGAAGTGCTGTGGAGTCTAAGATGGTACTGAAACTCTGGTTCCTTATTCAAATGTAGAGCTTGGGAGTCTTTTAGAGGATCAGAACAATGTTTCTCACTTTCTGATTGTTAGGAACTACAATCGCTTGGTCTTAGTCATTTATTTTCCCTGCAATTTTTGGACTACTCCTCTCCCAGAGCCTGTGCTTTGGCATTGCTGTCCTTCTAACTGAGGAAACAGGAGAATTGTGCTTACTGAACTCAGCTGCTTGAAAACCAGGGGAAAAATACTATAAATAAATTATTTTAATAAATTAAATATAACTATTAATAAAAAAGATACTCTTCTGTGTCATGTGGCACTGGCCTATCCTGTCTCAGTGCTGTCCCCAAACTGCATGCCACATCCTGAGGTCTCCAGGGAGCATTTGCTATCTGATTAGTCCGTTGCATATTAGGATGACAACTGGAACATAAACCAAAATAGCCATAAAGGAAACAGAACCGTCCCTCTGGAATAGATTTCCACTGCCATTCATATCCATCTCACACAGAGCTAGTTGTGCAAAGTGCTGTAACAAGACTGCTAGAGCCCTGCAATGTCAAACAGAGAAAAATCTGTCTCTCGATAAACACAGTTGGGATCTATAACACCCATTCACCAGAAAAGTCTGATATTTCAAAATATTTTTCATGCTATTGAATGGGTGACAAAATACAGTTTGCCATTGCACCAGAAGTCGAGACATCCTGACTGACTTTTGACCGATATTTCTTACTGAGATGAATGTTTTTCCGCAGATCAAAACTGTATTTTTTTATTAAAAAAAAATAAAAATAAAAACTGAACTGGAATGTTTCCACAGCAAGGGCCAATTCATCTTTTTTTGCAAGGTCTCAGGAGTTGTGGCAGACCTCTTGGGACCCTCTGTGTCACCTCTGCATCCTTTGTGGGCAAGGATCTGAGTTGAATTTCCTCTTGCCGTTGCTCTGCTATGATTCTCCCGGGCACTTCCATTTTGGTGAAAAAATACTTGATTGATTTGAATTGCTTCTCTTACTTTTGGGAATATTTATATTTTCTCCCCTGCCTGGGCAAAGAGAAACTTGCCAAACATCTCCAGTAAATTTTGTGGTAATGCTAATGTAAAATCCCTTCAATCAGTTGTGTAGAAATGAAAGGATCTACCCTGTAAAACCCTGTGGTCAGGTAACTTTCTGTGAGAAATTTGAGCCTGGCATTCCTTTGAGTTGTGCTTGATAGAGTTAAATACATAATTTTTGTTTCTTTAGCTTTTATTCACTTCATTAAAAATTTACAATAGAAAATGACATCTTCCATAATAATCCAATGGACCACTGGAGAGTTAGTAAGGCTCTGCCTTCTAAAACATGCAAAGAACTGGGAATGGAAGGAATGTCTAATTGGATTGCTAAAAATGCCATGTGGCAGAATATAAGGAGGAAAGAGGAGGAAAATGTGCAGGACTCAAGAGCAGGAGGGTTCCAAACAAGAATGGTGGTGCATACACACAGAAAATACATATATTTTGCTAGAAGAGTGTCAAATTCCAAGCTGAGAATTCCTGTCTCTTGATCCCATGGAGCACACGCATTTTGGCCACAAGGTGCCCAGTGCTTTAGAATGTTTTGCTGTCATCTACACAAAAAGTGATCCCTGAAGTTTCCATCCTCTGTCCCAGGACTATGCAGACACATTTATAGCACAGCTAATGAGAATTACTAGAGCAGACCCTCATTTCTTTATGTTGGGATGCACCCGTGGCTCCTTGTGCCCATTTTAGGACTTTATAATAATTCTGTGATCACAACTGCATTAGCCTGAGACCAATGTTTCTCAAACTTGCAGGGAGGCTGCTTCACAGCCAGTCCTTTCTTCTTGTTTTAGATATTTGAATGATCTCCTTCAATGGCTTCCTCTGAAGAAGATAATCCCACCCCTTTGGATCTTCCAGTTCAATGGAACTGGGTTTTCCAGCAAGAAAAATTCAATGCCTCTGGCTGGCAACAGAGCTGTAATTGTAAGGTAAGCAAAGAGGGAGAATGTTTGGAGGAAGCAACCTCCCTTTGGGAGGGAGCTGAGAGAATCATCAGAATGGACCTGCCTTGTTCTCCTTTTTCTAAAACATCTTCCTTTAAGATGTAAATTTAACGCTGGTGGATGTAGGAGTTGGGCTCTTGGCTTGCAGGAAAGCCGTTTGTGCTACTATGTCTTATCAGACCTGGGGAAAAAGAAGAAAAAAAAAAAAGAATTTAGTGTTCAAAAAACCCAGGAGGAAAACAGAAACTACCTGTGTTCTTAATGACTGACTGCAATTGCCACCTGGATCCCCTGCTGGGTGTTAAGTGACCATGGAAATGCACACCATGGTCACACTGAGTGGGAGCTGAGAAGCTGAGGAGCGCTGTGCTGACATGGCCCTTCCCCTGTGTGGTTGGAGGTATTTGACACCTAATCGCTTTTGATCCAAGCAGATCACCTTTCTGGGAAGTTGCTTTATCACTGGCAAATACGAGGCAATATGTAACCAAGGTGTCTGGCAGGCTGTGGACTGTGGAGGTGACTGGAAGAGCTGGTGATCAGATGGAGGTGGAAGAGCAGCCTGTTCTCAGATGAAGTGCTCTTAATGCAAGATTTTTGGTGCTCGCTCTTCAGTGTCTCCTGTCACTTCATGACTTACCACTTCCTTTTTCCTCAGGATTAATTTAATTTGAACATCAGGGTTTGCACCTTAACCTCCAGTCTGCAGGGAGTGGGGAGAGGACCTACATCTCGGTAAAATGCTAGCAGTGGCTGATACCATAAATCAGAGGGATTTTAGAATCTGATGACAAACCGAATTCTTGTCAGAAAAGAGCAGAGCTGACCCCTCCCAAACTGTCATTGAAGCTGGGTCATAAAAATCACAGCTGTCACCAAAGCATGCCAAGCCTCTGGGGGACATGCCATCCTGGGGACTCATCTGCTGCTTCCATGGCCAAATTCCAAGCCCTCGGGCACATTCCACTTGACATTTTGTCACATCTCTTGCTGGTGCATCTGTTCGGGGGTATTAACTCTTCCTAAATCACTTTATCCCTTTTTTTTTTTTTTTTCAGGAAAAAATAAGACTATGGGAGAGGAAGAGGTCTGTGGCACAAAACAGAGCCCAAATGTTTAAAATTTGGCAGCATCTGGAGTAACTAATCCTGTAGGCAATGTTACTACAGCAACAACATCAGAAATATAACCTGTATTCAAATAAACTTGAAAAAACAAATTTAGCTCACATTTATTCATGCAAAGCTACAAGAAATCTTCCCAGTTGTGTCCCTTTGAGCTTAGCCACAGACAGATCTGTCTCCAAAGGAGATGGGTGAGCACCAAGTCAGATCATGGTGACTGTGGTTGACCCGAGGTGATTGCACACTCTGCAGTGGCAAAGTGCAAGAGCAGAGACATTGAGGCACCTTTCTCAAACCATTTGACGGGGGCCAAGCTCTGAGATGCCTCTGTGTGTGTGAATCGAAGCTTCTCTATTCCACCTGGTCATAATAAGCAAACACAGTCAGTGAAATTCCCAGCCACCTTGGCCAGCAGGGATGGCAGCAGAGAGACTGTGTCTCCAGGCATCGGAGGGGCTGTAATGTGCTCAAGAGTCACTGCTTCAGAATCACAAAATTTGAATGTGTGTGGGATAAAGGTCAGCTGGTTTCACTAAGGATGGGGAATGACAGCCATCTGGCCTAGGAGAACGTGGAGAGTATTTGCTGGACTTCTCATGTTACTAGTGACAAAACTTCTAAGAGTTTCTAAAAATAATATGTGCTAATTTCTTTACATGCAGTGTCCTGCATGCGGGATGAGATAGTTCAGTACCAACTCTGGACATTTATTAAGAGTTAATAAATTTATTATATTTAAATAAATATATAAATATATGTATATCTCAAGGTCCACAGACTAGGTACATTTTACCAAAGAGCTTAAAAAATACTTGCTGAAAAGGGCTCTGAGCTACACCTCTTGCTATTTCATGGGTCCTGGAAGAGTGAGACAGTTCCAGATAACTGGGGGGAAAAACTCATTGTTGCTCCTGTGTTCAAGGGGACAAATGGGATTGCTCAAGGAAACACAGGCACATTAACCTGGCATCAGTCCCAGGGAAAATTATACAAAGACATGTAGGAGACATGGCTGGTAAGGAATTAAAGGATAGTGATGCAATTAAATACCACTGGTATCATAATATGGAGAGAAAATCCTGTTGGAAAAAATTACCAACTCTTATTAGAGAATGATTATGAAGTGACTGATAAAAGTGTGTTTGCTGGCCAAAGCACTTGATTTTGTCTGATGTAAGCTTCAGCTTGTACAAATGTCTACAATTGTTGGTAAAGAATCTTTCTCTGAAATTTTTTGCGTTTCTCTCTCTCTGTCTTTGTCTCTCTCTTTTTTTTAATGGGAGCTTGTTTTGTACAGGATTTTTCCCATTTGGGGAATCAAAACCAGATGTTTCAGTTTTGGTGTATATTGAAATATTTCAGTTTACTAAATGGAGGCAAAGCCTGAGCATACCTGTGTCCTAAATCCCGTTCTTTGAGAGGACACCATGAGGACTCTCAGTGCTTGCTTGAACAATTTAGAGTTTATCAATCTCCAAGCAAACAATTCAGACAATGGATTTATTCAGCAGGCCTCTGGAGTTAGAACAGCAAATCTAAAGAAGAAATCAATAGCTTTGAAAGCTCCAGGCCTCTGAAGCTGGAGCTTAAACCAATCTATACCACATGGAAAGGGGAAAGAGAGCTTACCAGGCTCTTTCCCCAGTAGCACCTTATCTGCTAAGCCTTCAACTGCAAAAGCCTCCTTTGAAAACAGCTGTTTCAGGCAACCAATGCAAGCACAAAACAAGTTGCAGTAGTGCTCTGACTTCTGACAGCAGTGTGAAATGCTCCTGAGGGTTAACAACACCCTCTTTGCTGGCACCACAGCTCGGTGCTGCCGCAGGCAGCCTCCACCCTGCATGGTCACGGGGCTCTCACCCCTGGCAGCAGGCGCTGTGTGGTGGGTGGGTTAGTGTCCACAGCCCAACACAGCACAGGACAGGACATCAGCACTGTTACCCATCCACCTTAGCTTGAAGTTTGGACTTTAGGTTCCATAAGTTTTGTTGCTTTCAAGAGGGAGAATGAGAGTGTAGGGTTCCTTGTTACTCTTCATGCCTGTTCCTTCTCACCCTCATTGTCTTCTCATTACTTCTGTGGCTTTCTCAGTCTTCTCCCTATCCTCAGAAACCCTGAGTGGTTCTTCCATCACCATTCCCTAAGGTTCCTCCTTCCCAAACTGTCTTTAACCTCTTTTTCTCTTCCTTTGATCCCTTTCATTTTCCTTCCTGGCCAACCATTGTCCCCATCCTGTCTACCTCTGAGATTCTCAATTGTAGCAGGTTTCCACATTCCTCAGCCTTGCTCCTGCTAGCTGCAGAGTTTTAACCTCTTGAAAACAATGTCTTACTCTCCCATATCTTTAATCTGTTGCATGTGGAAGCTGGTGGTGACACAACTGCAGTGGCAGAAGAGACCTCTAGCAAACTGCCCACTCCCAGGGCTGCCACTGCAGCCTCACAAGCTCACACTCTGCTCCTCAGATGCCAGGTCAAAGAGTGGGGTTCTTTCCTTTTTTGGGGATAGCTGTGAGTGTATTTTGAATATTGCATCAATTGCCATCCATTGGTTATTCCTGAACTGCTCTGATCCAAAAGGAAAGGAAATCAAATGCAACTGTGCTGATCCCGGGTTTGCTGCTTTTATCCTTCAAAAGGCATTTAAGAAGTCACACGCATATGGTGGTGAGGAACCATCACAGAAAAGGATGGCATGTTGCATAGTAAATATTGACAGATATGCAGCAGATATCTGTCCCACTCCTTTCTTTTGCTCTCTCTCTCTTCCTCTCTTCATTCTTCTATCTCAACAGCCAGCCCTGTTTCTGCTTTCTTCCATCTGGCAGCTCTCACAATAATCTCACCCACCTGTTAAATGAGAGAATGTCAAGTTAAATTTACAGCAGGGCCTGGAAACAGGATGCTACAGAAAAGTATTTTAATTAAAATCCTCTAATTGAATGCATGCTTCCTTGTGAAAAGGGAGCTGCCAAGAAGGGCTTGATGTCACCACCTCTACCCCCATTTGCCACAAAAGGAGAGCAATTAAAACCAGCTCTTGAGGTGGAAAGAGGAAAGGGCATTTCCAGGGAGTTTTCCAGGGTCACCCTTGCAACACCGTTGGATGGTTCATGGGCGGATTTTGCCATTTCACCAGAATTAGAGATGAAGATGGTACAACAGCTGCACTGCTTCTGTCAGGCACTTTGCAGAGTAAGAAGCTGTGTGTGTAAGGACGGGGCAATATCTGTGTGAAACCTGAACTCTGGATAGAAATATGACAAACATAAATCCTGTCTGATGTAGAGATCACCATTGCACAAACTCTCCTGGCAACACTGTGCTCTGCTTTGCTAGGAAATCAAGTGGGATTTTAAGACCTGGTTTGCTGGAATGGACACAAGAGAGAGAGCAAAGGGTTGATATGGAAAGGAAGATGGCAAGACACATCAAGAGGCAAATTTCTGGAGTTCCCATACAGAGAGTCTGGATGACCTCACCTGGTGCAGCTGTTCAGTAACTCCAGACACAGCCCAGAGAGAGAGAAATAACAGGGTGGGTAGGTCCAAAGGGCCAAAGGTGGGAGGTAGGAGGAAGCATTTAGGGAGAAGAGGGAATTAGCAAGTGCTGTAGAACTGCGTCACTGCCATGTAACTCTAGCTCTTCTAAATACTATGCAAATCCATCAACACCATATACTTCCTGTAAGCATGAAACCTCTGGCTTTTCTTTCCTTGTTAGACAGTGGTTAACTGTTACGAAAAGCAAGTTACAGAGGATAAAATGCACAGCACATGCCTCTACCTAAAGGCACAGTGGTACTAATAACAATTAGTGACATTCTGCAATATTTACAGGTTTTTCCATTGAGCTGCCCACAACACGTGGAGGGGAAGTTTGGCACCACCTCATTCCCGTGCCTCCAGGCTGGTAAAGGTCATTTCCCGCAGGTCTCAGGTCACAGAGCAGAGAAGTTCCCGGCACCCTCAGGTGTTAGCCAGCCCTCCTTCCTTGACAACAGAGAATCCTTTCATAAAACACATTTATTTTACATTTTGATATTTTAATGCTTCATTGGCCTATTTAGAAATTGGAAAATCTTACATCCACTCTTGAGAAATCTGGCAGGCACATTTGGCTCATGCTGGGAAAGCAAAACCACTGGCAAACCCTCCAGCCTTCGCTAAAATTTAAAAAGGACAGTCCAAGTGTTAAAGGCGTTTTGAAAAGCCATTCCCTTTGGGAGTGCTGGGGGCTCGAAGAATGAAGACCTAGAGAAAACTAATTTTTTATACAGGAAACTCTGGGTTGCAAGGATGATTTCCAAGACAGAAAATACAGCTCCCCAAAACAGTATAGAGGTCAGAGATCTAAGGTAATGGAGAATAGAGGAGCCAAGACTTTTGCCCTAAGCTTTTTAAGTCTCACCTACCTGCTTAGCAGCAGCTCTAAAAGAAAGTGAGAAGCTCTAAGAGAAAGTGTTGTTGAGTGCAGTAGCAGTTTGCACACCAGGAGCAGTATTTGCCTATCCTTCAGCAATGCACATCACCAAACATGCTCTGGAATGTGCTCAAGTGTTGCTTTGGTCATAAGGAGCAGAGCTGCTGGAGCAGGAGGGCAGGGCAGTGCTGGGACAGTGGCTGGAGAGAAGCTCTTCAGATGGATTGGAAAACAACTACTGGGAATAGAGATTACTCTGCCAGGCAGAGCTCAAAATGGATATTTTCATACACATAACATCTTCTGCAACCCAAGATAATGGCAGTGTCCCATAGATGCTTGGCATGTGTTTTAAAGGAACACCTAATTAAAATGTACACTGGCTGAAGAACAATTCCAGTCTTAAACTAGCACATGAAAATGGAGAAATGCCCTTGAGAACTGAACAATTTTTTAAAAAAACATTGGTTCATATCTGCATGAACCGCAATGTGCTACAAAAGATACTAAATGAGCTTGGAAGAAGGGTTCAGATCCTCAGCTGATGAAACATTTCTGTAATTTGCAAAACTTGCCTTTTGTTTACTAAGAAATCTCAAAAGTTTGGAGACATACAATGAAATATTAAAATTCTGCCTAAAATCCTTTAAGCAACCTACAGCATCACGAGTGTTCAGCCACTCACCTAATTTGGACCATATGAACGTCGTAAGTAATTTCCAAGCAGTCGGAAGGCAACAGGAGCAAGAGACAGCAAAATAGAGCTGGTGCCACACTACAAGCCTTGCACAGTATGCTCAGAGTGCCAGGAATATCCTCTCCTGCCCAGTTGTTATCAGGCTGTTAAGCTGATATATAAAAGAGTGAGAAGTGTTGTCACTTGCAGCTGGGGATCAACAAGGCTGATTGAGCTCCAGAGCAGTGGCTATAAGTAGAAGAGTCAGTGTCATTTTCAAGGAAGTTTTAAAAGTGGAATAAAAGATAGAAATGAAAGAAATAAACAGGGATTCAGAGAGAGCAAGACTGAAAGGAAATTCCCTGCAAACATTTAGGCATTCCCTGATGCTGGTGATGGAGAAAGGGTGGATGTGAGCAGTCACAGAGACTGTATAAGACCTTGTTGGTGTTCTAATGTTGGAAACACTCACCTGGTTTCAAGCAGTGCCCACATGAGGAACTGTCTGCAAGAGGAAGTGAGAGAGGTCAGCAGGTGGTTGTTTTGGGTCTCCTGGTAAAGTTCAGCCCTGTGATGCAGCTGACCTAGAGAAGTGGGGGCTTCTCTCGGTGCTCATAAGAGACAACCCTGCCAGC